AGAAGATTTAATAAAGAATCTATGTTATGTGCTTTTATAAATTTCTTTCATTTATGATCTTTTAACTCTTTACTATTGATATTTTAAGCAATATTAGTTAGTTTGTGCTTAGTGAAAATTGATTTTGGATATAAGTAAACCACTTGTCACTATGTAACTGCATGTGCTGCCACCATGGAGTTCCTGACTTCAGCCAAGGTCACGGCAGGTTTGAATGAGTACTAGCTTGCTGAAAATATTTTCTCTGAAGTAAAATAATAACATTTTTTAGGATTGATTTTATAATCATTCTTTTATAATGAAGTAAAAATAAAACAATTGGATTTTGTGCAAAAGCTTATGATGATTTGTGTATAAACAAAGAAGGCAACTTTACTGAATTGTCCATTATGAGCATCATGCCATAGTGGTCCACATCTTGTCTCTTCCTTTTATTGTCTCACTGATCCATGCATCCTTTACAAGCTCTTGAGTCAGTTGGAGCTGGACTCTTGTACTTACACTCATCTGGGATTGGAGAGTGGTGTCATGTAACCACTCCCCTTCCTAGGTTCCGGAGAGGCCAGGCAATGGAGAGGGTCACTCTCTCTCACTGTGGATAAAAGATAAAAGTAAAGACAACTTTCTTGTGCATTTTCCTCTCTGCCTACTCCAACCTTGAATGTTATTTCTGTGATTTCATCAAATTTTAAATAAACTTGGCAGGAAAAAAAGAATTAGCCAAGTTCTAAAGCATATTTTAGTTATATATCTGAGTGCTTGTAGGAGTGAGCACTATACATGTAGTACATATTTGCTTATTGACCTTAAAAATAGTTTCCAGCATAAACATGGCTATGTTAGCTTCATTTGGGCTACTTTTCAACAAAATATCCATAACAATTTATGTCATTTAAATTTCTTAACCTATGGATCAGTTTAATCACAGATTTAAGGTAAAATACTTGGATGTTTTTAACTCTTTTAGAGCTCAGCTTTCCCTAAGCAAATAAAACTCAATATAGAAGGAAATACTTGAGACATAACCAAAGATGTACAAATTCATTGTTTAGCAAGACAGTTGAAAAACATAAGAAAATCCATGTATAAAATAGTTAACAAATGACACCTTCTCTTTACTTGGGAGAATTTAAATATATTAGAAGAAAACAGAGGTAAAGAACTACGTGAGAATTGATTACATGTTGAACAGGTGTAATTAAATTCAACACAAAACAAATAAAAATGCCTCAGAAAAGGGGTGTAAAGAATTTAAAAAGAAAAGATGGACTGTGCTGGGCCCTGTACTTGCTAGCACATACAAGAATCTGGTTTGAGAAGACCTCAGACAAAGTTTCTTTGGAGATCTCCCCAATCAAAATGCTGGACTCAGAACCCTAACCAAGAAAAGAGAGAAGACAGAACAGGTCAACCAACCATCTCAGCTATATGTTGGCAAACAGAGACTCTATGATGGACTATGTCAAGCAGTGGATTCTTCAAAGACCTCATAGTGCTTGGAATGGCAAGATTGGCATTGATTCATAACTGTTGAAATATCAAAACCACTTGAGCAAGAACCTCAGAGAATACCCCACATGTGGGACCTGGGGAGGGTGGGAAATTGGGTGGGCCTTTTCCCTTAATACCCACTTTAAAGATGAAGGAAACAATGTGGAAAAAATAATAGTCTTACTCACTTTCCTGTGGCCTTTGAAACTTTTTACCCTAATTAACTATGTAAAGATTGTCAAAACATAATATTTTTGGGCCCGGCGTGGTGGCACAAGTGATTAAGGTCCTCGCCTTGCATGTCTGGGATCCAATAGGGGCGCCGGTTCTAATCCCGGAAGCCCCGCTTCCCTTCCAGCTCCCTGCCTGTGGCCTGGGAAAGCAGCAGAGGACGGCCCAAAGCTTTGGGACCCTGCACCCACGTGGGAGACCCAGAAGAGGCTCCTGGCTTCAGATCGGCATAGCATTGGCCGTTGCGCTCACTTGGGGAGTGAATCACTGGACGGAAGATCTTCCTCTCTGTCTCTCCTCTCTGTATATCCGCCTTTCCAATAAAAATAAATAATAAAAATAAATCTCTGAAAAAAATAATAATTTTAAAAAGGCTGAAAATAAAACACTTCTATGAAAAAGATTCTGAAAGCAATCAAAAGTTTTTATAAACTATTAACATAAAAGCTTGTTTAAATTTATGGTATCTAAATTCTAGCTTCATGGAGTGTGCCTTTGTGGCTTATGCTTGATTTTTAGATAATATCAAGAATTTTTTTTTCTAATCTCAGGAAATCTAATTCCATGTAGGATTCATCTTCCATAAACCTTGATAAAGCACTCTACTATTCCTTCAGTTATTTTTTTCTATACTGATTCTACTTTATTTGCCCTATGGTGTGTCTCCTTTATAAAATTACTATCTATTACAATGCTAGTAATTACAATAGACAAAACACATCTCTCATACCTGTCTTGAATATTCATAACATTCTTATGCACGTGGCACAATTTACATTTCTCTCTCCACTCTTTTTGGATTTTTTCACTTTACATTTAAAAAAACTAGGACTGTCAGTGATGGTCTAGCTAATCCATTGCCTGGAGTGCCAGCATCTTATGACAATTGGAATCCAAGCTTCTACATTTTATATTTACCTCCCTACTTATCACCTGGGAATGAAGCAGATGGCTGTAATTTTTAGGCCACTGCACAAACATGGGAGAGCTGGAGGGGTTCCCACTGAGTCAGCTATGGCATTGGCAGCCATTTGGAGAGTGAACTGATGAATGGAGGATCTATCTGCCCCTACTGTCAATCTGTCTTTCAGATAAAAAATTAAAAATAACCCAACATATATAAATTAAGATGAATAGATAAAAATATTGAGTTTATCTGTACTTATTTATATATTTTTTGATGTTTGGAGAAATTAAGTGAAAAAACAGGGAAATATTTTTATCTTATGGGCCCTGCACAGTAGTCAAGTGGCTAAACTCTTTGCCTTTCACATTGGGATACCATATGGGTGCCAGTATCCCTCATGCTCCACATCAATAACCAGCTCCCTGCTTGTGTCCCAGAAAAGCAGTCACTGACAGCCCAAAGCTTTGGGACCCTGCACCCTCACAAGAGACCCATATTCTCTCTGTATATCTGACTTTCCAATTGAAAAAAAATTAAGTTTTACCTTACTTAATGCATTCTTAAATGTTGTTACACTCAAGTACAAAACTAACAATGTTTTAAGACATAAAAACAGTTTGAAAAAACTAGATAACAGCAATTGCAAATGAAGAAAAGACAAAATAAGGATATTTAGGTTAAGTCTCTGTTGCTCATATACAGGGGTGGGGGAAAGATACCGAAAGTGGATATATTGCATTTGAAACTTGTTCCAACCCATGGTTACTAAAGCAGGATCTATAACCTGATTATATACACACTATTTCATCTCAACCCTCACAAATCCCTTCATTTCCCCATTCCACCTTTCTAGGAGGCAATGAGAAGAATCAAAGGACATTAGAATACTGTCAGAGCAATTGGAAATGTTTGAAAAGGGAAACTGCAAAACATTAAATAAATCTCACTGCACAGTAGTCTCTCTGAGGTGTGTTCCTAGGGAGGACCTTGGCCAGGATCTAGTCAGTATCAATATCAGTGGGATCACAGCTAGGGGCTCACATGAGAATGCTGGTGGAAATCACTTAGATGTGCACAAACTTCATCCTGGAATTAAAGGCATTGATAATATGTTACATGTTACATTCTGCAGAAAAAGAGGCCTCTCTTGTATTTGATGCTGAGCATTTTGGACCTTGATAGGGACATGTCTCTAAATAAGTAATAGAAGTAGTCAAGGCTTTCACAGATGGGACCATGCCAATGAGCTTAATACTAAATATTTCACTTACCTCAGCATCAGTCATGATGCCCATGCTTAAAATAACATTTCTTAATTCATCTGAACATGGAATTATAATAGAGACAGAAGCAGAGAGGCACCTTTATTCCATTGATTCAAATCCCAAATGATTGCAACAAAAGTAGTTGAGCTGGTGTGAAGCCAAAAGTTAGGAGATAGGTCAAAACTGAATCAGCTAGGACATGAACCAATTGTGCCCTCGGTTGCCACAGTAGGATAACCAGAACCTTACACAACTATCTTATAGGGCTGGATCTGATGTTCATCCTCATATTTGAAAGACATTAGGCACAGGTTGGCATTCATTGGCAAGAAGCTTGCTGTCGGAAGCCATGGTGCAGGAAATCAGCATGAACATGACAGTAGTTGTGGCAGCTGATATTTAAACTGCAGTGGCCATTATCATATCACAAGTCAGATGCCAAACAATTCTTATGCCTCTTGCATGTACCTCTAAAAGTATGCAATAATTAGACAAGGGCCAAAAGTGATCCAGTTTGCCAGATGTCACAAATGAATCACTCCCCATTCTGAACAAAAAATTCATCCTTTAAAACTGGGTTATTAGCATTACAATTGCCACATGCATCGGTTGATATTTGTGAGTCCCATATTAATCTATTATAGAATATTTGTGAATTAGCACTATAAAAAAAGCTATACTAGATAACTGCATAAATGCTATATGGAATTCAAAACAAGTGTTATACACAGAATATTTATTTTCAAAATTAAAATGTGAAAGCAGAACTTATTTACAACAAAATTACATCAGGTAGATTCCATTTCAAATATTTTAGCAACACATAGCCTTGTTCAGAAATATGACACACCTCATGTTTATTATTTGACAATTGTTGAGACTTTCACACATCCTACTGCAATTTTACAATGTATCCTATCTGTAATTTACTAATGCTTGATTTGGACTTTATACGATTTGACTGAGAGTAGCTTTATACTAGCTAGTTTTTTCTGTTTACATACTTTTGTTTTTCTTAGCTTCATAGGATCTGCAGAGAATTGACTTCAGAAAATATTATTGTTTTTAGGCAATGCAATATTTTTGTTGCTCCTTATGGATATATTAGTGAACTGTGACCTCATGTTAGTTTTTGCTTTCTAGTGCAATCAATGTTTTTTGTGTATGAGTTTTTCAACATTTCTTCAGGCATGTGACTTAGTTTATGCAATAACTGCCTGCTAACAAAAAGATTTTCCATACTCGTCATACTGAAAAAGTTTTTATCTTGTGTGAACTCTATGATGATTGATTAGGTCTTTTTTACGGCAAAACACTTTTCCACATTCACTGCATTCATACGCTTTTTCTGCTGTGTGTATTCTCTGGTGTTTAATTAGGGATGGCTTTTGACAAAATGCTTTTCCACATTCACTACATTTAAAAGGCTTTTCCCCTGTGTGAATCCTCTGATGTACAATGAGACTGGACTGCTGGCAAAAGGCTTTTCTGCATTCACTACATTTATAAGGTTTTTGCCCTGTGTGAATCCTCTGATGTACAATGAGACCAGACTGCTGGCAAAAGGCTTTTCCACATTCACTACATTTATAAGGTTTTTCCCCTGTGTGAATCCTCTGATGTACAATGAGACCGGACTGCTGGCAAAAGGATTTTCCACATACACTGCATTCATAAGGTTTTTCCCCTGTGTGGATTCTCTGATGTCGGATTAGGTGTGCCTTCCGACAAAATCCTTTTCCACATTCAGTACATTTATAAGCTTTTACTCCTGCGTGAATTCTCTTATGTGTGATAAGCTGTGACGTCGAATAAAAACGTTTTCCACATTCACTGCATTCATAAGGTTTTTCCCCTGTGTGGATTCTCTGATGCACAGTTAGGTGTGACTTTGAATAAAAACTTTTTCCACAATCAATACATTCATAAGCTTTTTCCCTTGTGCGGATTTTCTGATGTATGCTTAGCTGTGACTTCCGACAAAAAGCTTTTCCACATTCACTGCATTTGTAAGGTTTCTCTCCTGTGTGGATTCTCTGATGTCGGATTAGGTGTGCCTTCCGACAAAATCCTTTTCCACACTCAGTACATTTATAAGGTTTTTCCCCTGTGTGGCTTCTCTGATGTACAATGAGACTGGACTGCTGGCAAAAGGCTTTTCCACATTCCCTACATTCATAAGGTTTTCCCCCTGTGTGGATTCTCTGATGTCTGATTAGGGATGACTTCTGACAAAAAGATTTCTCACATTCATTACAATTGTATGATTTTCCCGCTGTGTGAATTCTCTGATGTGTAAGGAGACCTGATTGAGTGCAAAAGGATCTTACAGGTTCATTACAATCATACGGTTTCTCCTCAGTGGGAAGCATCTTCTCTCTAGTGAATTCTGACTTCTGGTAAATATTTTTGCTACATTTATTGCACACAGAGAAATTTTCTCCAATTTCACTGCCCTTCTTGGTGGTTAAGCTAGAGTTACAGCTAAAAGACTGTTTGCAGTAGCCATATATATAGTGACTTTTCGCTATTTGGATTATCTGATTTATTTTGAGATCTCTTTTATAAATAGGACATTTCTCACTCTTGAAAGGTTCATGGAGTTTCTTTCCTGAGTGTGTTTGTTGATGCTTGACAAAATAAGGATTGCTATGGAACATTTTCTTGTCAACCTGAATTGTTTCTCCTACAATGATAGGGTCATTAAATGGGTCTTTGATACAAATTTTCTTACACTTAAGGAACATCTTCGTGCTGAAAGTTTTTTCTTTTCCATTGTGTTCAAAAGATTGCTTACAAGTGTACATCTTGTCATGCTGACTGAGCTTTTCTGCAAATTGGAGTTTGTTCTCAGGAACATTAGAGGCATGCTTTTTCTCAAGTGACATTTCATCAGGCTTCCTAGGAAAAAAACACATTTTGAAATAAACTATGGTGTCCTTTCCTCTCTTCAAAAGGTACCCCATCTCTGAGTCTTTCCTGGGACACACTTCCCACCTCCCCTCTTCTTCCAAGTTCACCTGGTCGCTTCAGAAGCAAACCTTCTGTAAGCAACTGAGTCCCAGTTTCTGTTCCCATACTAAGCTGAGGAAACAGCCACTGAGATTCCTGGTAACATTTTCTCTGGTGTCCAATACAGGGCATGAAATGGCTTCTTATACCAGTCATGTTGCTTGACTCAACAGAAAGAATTTACCGTGTTGGTGTGCTTTCCCTCAAGTGGGACTGAACCTTGAAAATGACTCTTGATACCCCATGGTTCTGCATAAAGATGGATCCCTCCACCCCATCCACTGTCCACCACCTAGCTCTGGTTGAAACTCCAAATAGGTTCTTTTTTTAAGGGGGATGAATTGCTGTTTCCTATCATCTCAATTTCTCCTTTGGGAGTATGGCTCTGGGTGTGTGTTTCGAAGAAACCTGGTGGAGGACTGACAGTCCCTCTCAGAGGCTACTTTTTTGCATGATGGGAAACTCCCTGGGTGGATTCTGAATGCTGACGACCTGGCATGGTACCCAAGTGCCAAGCTTCTTTCTCATGTTTCATGTTGGTTTATCCTTAGTGAAGGAGGACTGACTCATGGCACCCCGACAAGTATTATGCTTGGTTTTGATTATTTGAACTGACTCATATGCACCTCTGATGACTCTCCCTACACCCCTGAGATGAACTAAGACCAGTTTCTTTATTTTGGCTCCTGTCTCAATTCTATCACCCATGTGTCTTCCAAAATCTGAGACCTGAACAGCAATAGAACAGGAGGAGTACATTTGAAACTACACAATAGGAGCTATTGATTGAGAGACAACAAATGGGAAATGTCTTCCCACAGGTTCCTCCTCAGACAAGGAGGAGTCATACAACACTTAAAAATCCAAGACCCTTCTGAAAAATGGTGCATCTCCCTCTCTCCACTCAACAGGTATCCCATCTATCTCTTCCTCTCTGAGGTGGTCCTTTTCCATTCCCTCTGCTTTCTACATTCACCTGGTAACTCTGCAAATAAAACTTCTCTCAAATAAACAAAAAAAAGAGACATATTTCTACTTTCTTTTTTATACAATTTCCTCTCCATAGCTTTTCATAGCACGCGTCAATTATGGCCAGAGCTTAAATTAATCATCTTTGCCAATGCAACTCTTTTTGAAGTTATACAATTTTTGTTATTACAACTTGCCTGAAAGTGGTTTCTTGATTTTCTGGATTAGTTCCAAGCAGCTCATTCTTTGTGTAAGGATCTGAAAAGAGGAAAAAGAGTAACCATATCTGTGAATCACATCTAAGTATCTCTTTTCAAATGCTAAAGTAAGACAATGATGTTTCTTGCCAATCTAGATATAACAGATTTTAATATTCAAAAAATGCACACATTTATGATCATTACACTTTTTAAGTTAATACATTAATACAATAAATAGGGTTTCTTTTTCAATTTTCAATTACTTGGGATTTTATATTTTAAGTTGATGTGGAGTAGGACAGAAAATATGGTACAGCAATTCAAACTAATGCTTGTAACGCATTACATCGCATAACAGTTCCAGTTTGTCTTATCTTGCAGGGATCATGTAAAAGGTCAATATTTAGCTCTACATTTTTGGTTTCAGGTTGATCAATTTTAACATTTGAAAGCATTGTTAGAATAAAACTGTATATGGAGACTGTAGAGTGCCTTTGTCTCATGCATGACATAACCTGATTTTGGAAGAAACATAAAAAAAAAAATCAACATGAATTTCAATGAATATTTACTGAGATAGATATCAATTTCGCTTCCCAGTATGTACTGCCCTACCTGGAACCTGCTGGTGTATAGATTTTTCCGCAGTCCATGGTACTGATTCTTGTTCCAACTTGAAGATCACATCAGGTTTTGTTATGTGATATCCTGTTAATTGAAAATAATAGCGATTTTGTGAAATCACTACCTTGGAGCTTAAAGAAGAAAAGATTGGATCTAGAATCTGAGTCACAAAATGGCTAATATGAATCATTATCTGAAGAATAGATATTAAGATTCTTTAAAGCCTCAAATACTAGTCCTACTAGATACTAAACTTTATAAGTTCTTCTTTAATTTGTCAAATATAAAGAAAGTATTCTGCTTGGGCATGACAGATTATCACTCACCCACGAACAGCAGATTGCTATAGGTCTCAAGCATCACATCCCTGTACAGGGTCCTCTGAGTATTGTCCATGATCTGCCACTCCTCCTGGGTAATGTCCACAGCCACATCTTCAAATGACACCAACACCTGCAACAACACATGTCTCCTCAGTTCTGGATCACTGGCAGTACATTCTTCCACGTATGTTTGATTTGCAGTTTATATGAATGCGGCTTAATTTATAATCTATATGGCATTATAGATTAAAAGCAAAATGAAAATACTCATTCTGCATTACTTTTGCAATTCCAAAACTACAATAGACTATCCCTTATTATTTTGTTGCAGATTCTTTCCTCTAATGACTCTGATTTTCATTAAATATAGAAGGTATCATTAGAATAAATCTGCAAGTAGAAGATATCACTCTGTTTGTCACTGTTATTGCCACTCTGCTTTTCAATTAAATTAAAATATATAAGCATTTTAACACTGAGCAAAAATATAAATTCAGTGCCTGTAATAGTAAGCTGAGTGATTTCCAACTGCCATGTTCCCCCATATTCACTTTCTGTAGAATTTCTTCTTATAAGAAAGATATATTGGTGTCTTCTCTACTGATTTCTCAGCTACAAAGTGGGGTAAAGTTTTCTGGATCACTCACTTAAGGCATAGGATTAGGAAGTGAGTCTGTTCTGTGTTAAAAACCATACATTAACAACAGAATTTGTATCCATGAATGTCTCATGTTCAGTCTTGTGAAGGATATGACTAAAGCTTCAGCTCAGGAGAACTATTCTTCGCATGTTTATTTTGCATCTTCTAAAGACACAGATTACTTTACAATCTGTATGGCAACATAAGGTAAAAACAAAATTAAAAACATCTTGTCCTACATTGTATTTGAAATTCTGAAGTTACAATGCAATTCCTTTATCACTCTGTAAGATCATTTTATCAAATAATTATGAGCTCACTGTGTAATCTGTACATATAAATATGAACATTGAGCTAAATTACATGCAAGATTAGATAAGAAAGACACATGATTAATAATGGATAGAATAGTGAGAAAATGATTCATGATATTTTTCTCAAACAAGCTGATATTTTAAAAATGTATAAGGTGACATTAATAAAATTCAATTTTCCTATTTCAACTTAAAAAATGAAATATTGGAAAAAATTTTTAAATTAAACTTACACAAATGAGTGAAGAGTTAATACAGCTTACTCTGGATTTAAATACATATGTGATTTTTTGTTTTTTACTTTGGAGAATGTATATATTAAAATCCTTTCTTTTTTCTATTTTTTTCTTTTTATGAAAACACAATTAAATTAAGCTAATATTTTAATTACAGTGAACTTCAGCCTCATTCAGAACTAGCTTTTTGTAACAAGTAGCTAACTCAGTTTTTAAAATAAATAAAAACCTCCAAATGCTGCTAGGCACCATACCATTTCAGCAATTTCAAAAAGCAAAATTGAAAACTTGAAAACTATTTTTATATTTGGAAACTCTTACTACTCCCAAATGCTGAGTGGCTATTTTCAGGTTGGAACTGAATGATGTTCTTTATATCATCTGTAACATCAATAAACACCATTTTAAACTTGATATCCCTCAATAATTAATAAATTCTTACTTTTAATTTGAATCATGTAATAAATATCTTAGTTATATCATCAGAAAACTTGGAGGGAAAATTTGAATCAGATTTAACTGCTCCAATGTCTAGTTATGACAATCTTACCTTCTTCCTCTCATACTCATTTCTTTGTATCAGATTAAGAAAACCATCATAAAGCTTCTACAGCACAATGTAAAACAAGCTGAGACATAAACATACAACTTACTGAAAGTGTGTTTGTGTTCTCTAGACTTGGAAGCATGTAGTGTGTTTCAGTGAAACACCTGGAAGAAAAGGTGCACAGAGGAAGTTACAAATTGGTTTTGCTTTCTCAAGTTTCCTTATTATTTCCTATTGTGTAAGTAAAGTCAAGGCAGGAACCAGACACAACGGCCAGAGAAATAAAGGCTATCCAATTTCCTGGGCAAGAATAGTGCATTACAGATGACAAGTGCCACGAAGCCATCCTAGAAACAGCATAAACAAATTCAATAATTGACAGTGATTAAATTCAAGTTGTTATTAGCTTAAAGCAAACATTTTTTTGCACTCTATTATTATTATCTTTTATGATACAGTTCCAAATTTGCTCATCACCTCCAAAATTCCCTCCCCCCACCTAATACCTCTATATCATTATTAACATATAGTTCTTCATACACATTCATATGTCCATCATTGCTGGCATGGAAAATGGCAGAGAGTCCAGCATCTTATTGTCAAAATATAGTAAACAGTTTCATTGTAAGTCCATCTTTGTCTGGAACAAGAAATGCATACCACACTGCATCCTCACATCTGGATGTGAGTCTCCATTGCAAGGCTATTGTACATCCCCTTAAATAGTCATGATACAAAATCAACAATAGAAAGAAAAATAGGAATGTACAATGCCATGAAGTTCAATCACACGTTACTATATATGACAGTCTCCATTACACAACTACTGTACATCCCCTTAAATGAAAAGTTATGATACAAAATCAACAATAGAAAGGCTAACGTGTAGCTGAAGAAGTGAAAATCAAGAACCTTCTTGAAGAAAATGATATCACTGCATGATCTATGAGCCATTACATGATTTAATCAGAAGAAAGTATTTTGAAGAGATGAAACCAATAGAAAACAACAAAACACATGCAATATATTTTCTGGTGATCTTTGTTAAGCGTGTCTCCTCCAGACTATAAACAGATGGGTTTTGTTTTTCAATCCAGTCTACTAAGCTATGACATTTATTGAGTTTAAGCCATTCACATTCAGAGTTTAATATGCACGGATGATACTTTGGTCCTCTCATTTTAGAAATGGGTTGTTCATTGGTTTAATCTTTTGTTGTCATTTTATTGGGATGTTCTTCCCATTTGCCTTTGGTTTTGGTGGATGTTCTTCCCATTTGCCTTTGGGTTGGGCAGGTTTGAAAGAGACAAATTCTTTTAACATTTCTTTTCTGTGGAACAATTTGATTTCCTTTTCAAAGACAAAAGAAAGCTTTGCTGGATATGTTATCCTAGCCTGACAATTTTTTTTCTTTCAGAGTCTGGAATATTGTGACTCCATTCTCTTCTTGCCTGTAGAGTTTCCTGTGAGAGATCTCCTGTGAGTTTAATTGGCATTCCTTTATATGTCAGTTGATTTTTTTCATGTGCATATTTAAGGGATCTTTTCCTTCTGTTCAATTAAAAAGAGCTTGATGATCATGTGTCTTGGGGAAAATCACTTTTGATCAAGCCTACTGGGAGTTCTGTGCCCCTCCTGGATCTTGTTTCCCAATCCTTTCTCCAGATTAGGGAAACTTTCCTTGATTATTTCATTAAATACATTTGCAAACTCAGCTTCTCTTTCTGCACCTTCTGGGACTCCCATAACTCATATATTTGTCCTCTTAATAGTGTCTTTCAGTTCTTTAATACTTTTTTGGCCTGATCCAGCTCTGCTTCCAGCTTTTTGTTTGCTTCCCCCTCGAGACAGGAAATATCTTCCAATTCTGAGATTTTTTCTTCTGCTTGCTTCATTCTATTTTGGAGACTCTCCATTGTATTTTTAATTTGCTCTACTGTGTTCTTAATTTCTGATATTCCAGCCTTGATTTGCTTTACTGCTTCCTTAAATTCTTTGAACTCTTGCTTGAGCTTCTCATTTTTGATCAGAATCTTTAAAATGAGTCTTATGGATTCTGTGTCCCCCATTTTTTTAGATGTCTTCTTCATGAACTCTGAGGTTGGCACAGGGCTTTGCTCCTTTGCAGGGGAGTTTTCAGTAATATTCATTGTGCCTTTGTCTCTTCTTTTGCTCTTGGTCATTGTACTTCTGGTTAGCAGAGTCTTCTTCTCCTTGGGGCAGGTTTCTAAGCTGCTTCACACTCAGGTATACAGTTTAACTCTACTTATTGCAGTTGGTATACAACTTTTGCTTGCAGCCACTTGTGCCACAACCTCCAGCATGTTCCAGGTCTGGGTTCTTATGTCAGATTTCCACCATGGTCTCCACAACCCCAGCTCCTGGCTCACCACTCTCTACCTCCTGTGATACCATGCTGAGGCTGCACCATTGTCCCTGCAAGCTTTCTCCCACTTATAGTTGGAGTAGGTTCCAGGATGAGAGACACCAGTTGTCCTATATAATTAGGTTGTTGGTGGCGCTGATCTTATCAAAACCTCTTGGACATTAGGTCTGGGTACCCCACAGACCTATTTAGACCCATACGATGCCATAGTCAGTACTATTTTCCTGCGGGGCCAGTTCAATCCACTCACCTCAGTGAGTTCTCACGAACTCAGCACATGCACGGTTCACTGTTGTCCCCTGATGTTTTAAAGCTATTGCCACAGTGTACAAAACGGTGCCTGATGTACCAGCATTACAGTTCTTGATCTGCTGGCCATCTGATCCAAGGGCTACCCAGACCTGCCCCGGGGGGAAACCTGTAGAATGCCACGCAGATACAGTTCACTGAGTCAGAAATGAGCTCACTCCCAGCTCAGCAAATGCTTAGTCCTTTCCCTTGTTTTTGCCCTCTTATGCAAAATGGGGCCCAATTCAGCTCTAGGGGCTTATTGGGCCCTGAAATCCACCCTATTCTCACACTGCCCATCTGAGATCTGCTCCTCAGTCTCTGCTCCTGGTCAAATCAAATGGACCAGCAGGATGGACAGTTCTTTGTCTGGGTTCACCTCCCAATTTCCCAGTGAAAGTCCCTTCCTACCTGGTTGCTGGTGGAGTTCCAGCTGCTGGCAGAGTTCAGATTGCCATTAGCTGAATGCCGCTCGAGTATCATTCACTGCAACACTACACCTTTGTTCCCACTGCTTTCCTGTGTCTGTCAGTCTCCAGATACTCCTCTGCTCTTGCTATTGTTGTTCTGTCCTTTCCTATTTCCTGAAATATGTCCTCTCTACTTCATCCTGATTAAATGTTTTCCTGTCCATTTAAACATGTTCTTACCCTATTCCACCACCTTGATTCTGTTGAAAGTGAAAACTTTCTACTGTCTAAAGCAAACGTTTTATACTTACTTAAAATTAAAAATATTTCTGCCAAGCACTTAGTTATTTTTCTCAACCACTGTTCAAATTACAACATACCATAAAAAAATATTGTCACTGAAATTTATGCTACTCAAAAATAATTAGGGATATTAAGTATTTGTTTTTGTAGATGAGCTGCATAGGACTCCATATAAGGACTTTCATTAGAACATTTATTGCTAATATTAAAAATGTTGAAAGCAGACTTTTTCAATTAGAGTAATTGTATCTGCACTTATACGGGAAAAATTGATATAATACATATTTACTCTCTACAACTTTCTAGTAACTGCTCCAACTGAAACTTCCTAAGACTTCAATGTCACTTCCCAGCTCTTAAACCTTCAATGACACTTGACTTTGCCATTTCATTTGCTTTGGCCCATAGGGCATCTATAAATATGACAGCAGCATAGTTTGAAATGTATTTTTACTTTACCTCATTAAATACTTATATTATAGCAACAGCTGGAGAAAACCATCAGACTTAGAGGATTGAATGTCATGATACAGCAGGTTTTGCTGCTGCTTGGGATAGATCATATCTGATACCCAGTTGCTTTGTTTATGTCTACTGCCTATTCAACACCCTCAACACAGAATCCTCTTATAAGGATAAATGTTTTTTCAGGTATTTGGGTACTCTAGTTTGATTTATTCATACTAAGGATTTTATTAGTAGTAGTAAAATGGTTTATATATATTTAAACACTTGAAACTCGGACTGCTGTGGTATTCTAGTGGTTAAAGTCCTCATCTTACATGCGCTGGAATCCCATACTGCAGCTGGTTTGTGTACCATCCAGCCAGTTCCTGTCCCAGCCAGGTTCCTGCTTGTGGCCTCAGAAAGCAGTAGAGGATGGCCTAAAGCCTCAGGACCCTGTACGTGCATGGGAGAATCAGAAGAAACTCCTGTATCCTGCCTTTGGATGGGTACAGCTCCTACCATTGAGGCCACTTGGGGAGTGAACGAATGGATGGAAGATCACCCTGTGTCTCTCCTCTTTATATCTGGCTTTCCAAAAAAATTAAATATTTAAATATTCAAAAACTGATTCATGCTAAAATCTGAAGCACTTTTGCCTGTCAGTAATGGATAACATACTAAATAAGAAAAACCGCATTATAAATTTATTGTATTCACACAATCCAAAGTATTGAAAAAGGATTTGCAGAGAAGAGACAAAGGTCTCCATCCCTGCTCATTCACTCTCCAAGTGACTGCAATGGCTGGAGCTGAACTGATCTGAAGCCAGTGGCCAAAAGCTTCTTTCTGGTCTCTAATGCAGGTGCACATTCCCAAGGCTTTGGGCTATTCTCTACTCCTTTCCGAGCCCACCAGCAGGGAGCTGCATGGGAAGTAGAACATCTGGGACATTAATTGGTACCCAAATGTGATTCAAGCATATACAAGGGTTTAGCCACTAGGCTACAGCAACAGGCAATTAGAACTCCACTGGCAGATCTGAGAACCAGCTTGCAGGAGGAGCCGGGGCTGTCCACAACCACCTGGAATGTATCACCAATCAACAGGAGCTAAACTGTGGGTAGGCCGGACTGACCCATGCTGAAGCACCCACTGGTTGATGCCAAGGTGAGGCAAGCCACGTCAGTCTAGGGGTGGAAAGACAGTAACTGTGAGGCTTGGGAGCGGTGGTCTGACAGGACCTGGGTCAACTGGCCTGGGTCCTTTGGCCAGTCTGTGTGTTGGATGCTGGGTCTGTGAGCCCCTAGGGGATGGGGGTTTCAGCAGGACCAGCATTACATGGTCGGGGTCCTTGGGCTCACCTGTGTGGTGGGTGCCTGATCCAGTGGTGTTCAAGTAATCTGGTTGAGGTCCTTAAGCCTGCATGCACAGTGGGTGCTGGGTCCTTGAGCCTCAGGGACAGAAGGTTAGTGAGGTCCACGTAGTCTAGCCCAGTCCTCCCTCGAGCCCACATGCAGGGAAATGCTGGGTTCATGAGTCCTGGGGAGGGGAGGTCCGGTGAGATCTGCATCACCTTGGACCCACCTGCATGGTGAGTGCCAGGTCTGTGAGCTCCAGGG